GTGAATGAATATTTCCTGAGTACTCACTGAGTAACAATACTCAGAAATTGTTAGTAGTACCAATATGAGTACTCATGGACGAATTATGAGTAAAGTCGTACTCATCGTATGAGTACTTTCACTAGGGGGTATATCTGTTTTGATCCTTGTTCAAAGATAAAATTTTTATTCAATGATTTATTTTTAAAATTGAAAACGTACACGAATAGACGACACTTTTTTCTAGATGTGTCTAAACCAGCGGTCGGTTATGGTAAACCATGTGTAATATAAGTCAGACGTAAGTCATTACTGTCAATAAGAATTTACGTTTATCGTACCTATCCTCATATTTCAAAAAAACATTTGTTTTGCTGAAAGAAAAAGAAATCTTAGAAAGCAAGATGGGGTTATCCCAATCCCGTCCACTTGTTACGTCCGTGTTTGCTTGTGTATATGCAAATAAAAGAATATAGTTTTATGTATTCGAAAAAACACAAGTATTTTTCAAATAAAACAATACATAGATACTGATAAACGATGTTGACTCACTATGGAATGTTTCTAATTTGGAGACAGAGGTTGCGTACTCTCTGGGCTTACATGAACCGTGCACATCGGACCTATTTTCAAAGTACATAATTAAACGCATTTTTTTGGATGGATGTTCAAGGTAGGAGTTTCAAGTAATGATTAAACTTTCCGTTCATGTCAGTATTACCATCCTTAAGGATCTTTTGAGCAATGATCTTTTCATTCTTATAGTGCTGTTCAATCACATTTACTTCCCAGGCCGATGATTTTGAAGGCAAGTTCCTGAAAGGTCCGACGTAGGAACAAGTCGGAATTCGACAAAATCTGGTACAATCCTACCAGAACCATGCCCTATTATGTCGGAATCCTGGCGCCTGGATTCCGTGCCGGAACATGTCGGTAAAGATCCGTCCGGATCCTTCGGGCTCCAGAATTTCGCTGGATTTGGCAGAGTGTGACCGGTTTTCGGGTGTTTGAAGGCTAAAAATAGCCTTAGATTTTTTATTTTATACTCTTTTTTGTTCATTTTCTAGTTGCTCCTGTCACTGCGTATTCGAGAGAGTGTAAGGGCCCACTAGCTATGGCACGTACAACACGTCTGTTGACCAGTGTGAGCGATAACTCACACTGTTAAGAACTTGAGAAGAAAATTTTCTTGGTTTTCATTTTCTGCAATGTCATATTTAAAGTACTGCTGTTGTGCAACAAAATAGTAAATATATTATGCGCACAGAAAATAAAGAAGTGTGCACCACAGGATCTGTCGATTTGCGGTGATCAGAAATTAACGGATCCAACTGGTTCCGAATATTGGATTTGATCTCCGGATCGTCCACGATTCAGATATCGAGAAGCGAAAGAATTGAGAGGATTCCGGTCTCAGGATCCAGTCGGCCGCCCGAACTCCGAAAATCACCGGAATTAAAGTATCCTACGGGGTACTTCGATAGGGTGAATTCGACCTGGGTTATCGATTGTGTAACGCTTATTTTATCGATTGATATTTACGTCACATGCGTAGAAAATACAACTAGGAATGTTCATAGTAAATGCTACGCGTGATCCTCTGATGTGTGAGTTTTAATGGCAGTTGGATATATATCTTATCCGTGTTTTTATAAACTTTCTAATTTTTTAATCAACGACGACTAGATCAGCAATATATTTTCCAAAAACAACGTTTAAAAATAAAAAAAGCCATTATATAATAACATAACTGAAGACTAAAACAGAAGGAGTAATATAGACTAAAATACAAAAAAGCAAACAAAAATTTTATAAAGGAGAGATCAAGATACAGGAGCCTGAAAGAGAAAGAGCGAAGAAAATTTGTCTATGACCTGAGCATTTCTTTTTTTGACGAAAAAAAACAAACACTTTTCAAGTAAAACGACATAAAAAAGATCGGAAGCAAAATTTTTGTTGTTTTGGTCTCGCTCAAATCACACAAGCTTATAAAGCAATGATCAAAATGATTGACAAATGAAAATTGTAGTTTCACGATATCAGACATGAGCCACATGACAAAAGAGAGGCTACAGGTTATAGACCATTATGTATTGAGCGCATTGCTTGAAGCAAGTGTAAGAAAAACATTTTTGAAATGGATTAATAGATAAATTAGAATGAAATAATATATATGATATTTTGTTGTCCAGCATAAAGAAGTGATGTTTGTTGCTGATTTTAATGCTGATCTTGGCTTATCACAATAGAGCCAGTCGGTATTGATTGAACGAGGATATTCGGGTGCGGCTTCCATATAAGAGTCATTTAAACGCCAAAAATCGGTGCCTTTGAAAAAATACGTAGTGCCTACAAAGAAACACAATTAATTATATTAACTCTATGATATCAGTTACCACAGTAATCAAAGCTCCTGTTCTGAGTTAAAAATGTGGAGAAATGATAAAAATCTATAATGGTGGTAGAGAATAATTCCAATAAGAGAGATATTAGTGTTATACCCTCTCGTACTTAAACTATAACAATTACAGACAAATTGCCTATTTTTGAATACTATTTATTTTTCATTATCTAAAGCGAAACATCGATGGAACAGTTATTTACGAACAGATCTGTTCTTTAGGCGCAGATATCGTTCTTCCATCATACATATTTGAGCAGCTCGTTATAACAAAATGGAGATGGATGTGATCTTCTTTTCACATTACCTGTCATATCAACGAAAGCATCATCCAACGGTATATCAATTCCTTGCCACATTTTCATGTCTCTTGGATAATCGATTCGCTGTACTAAATTTTCTTGTTCATTAAATGCCCAGTACAAATTTTCCCATACTAAATAGGCGTGTGAATTATATTTCCAATAGAACGCAGCGTCAACACGTTTTACATGTCGAGGTAAACCTAATGTGATTAAATTACGAGGATAAGTCGAATCGTAAACAAGATTATTTTCAAATAACCAATATTGATTTGCTAGATAATAAAAACAGAGTTAGATTACTTTAATGCATTACAGGATGAAAGATCTTTACCTGAAAATAACATGAGTAAACCATCTGAACGTTCAAAAGCGGCATCAATATGATTCAAATTCTCTGGTAAACCAAGCCAAAATGCATTGTTTAACATTGGAGAATACGGATTTAAACCACGACTGTCAAATTGCCAATGATACTAAATAAAAATCAGTGATATTGATAAATTCAATTGGATAAAAGTTAATATATTTGTTTAAAATATAACGTTTTATGTCTTACCTGTCCTTTAAATATGAATAAATTTCCATGATACATGGTTACGGCATCGTAATAGCCATCACATATATCGAGCGTTATATACTGTTCTTTATCGATCGAAGAAGGATATTCATTCACGTACCTATATATATTCGTTTCTTTACTAATCATTGTTGTCGGTATGCTAGTTCGATTAGTAACAACGGGCGTTAGCGCAGTAGACTTAATTGATGGTCGATCTGTTCGCGTATGAGCTCTATTTATCGAGTTAGTGGTGGTACGTTGAGTAGGCGAGGATGTAAATGTATTTTTAGCTTTTAGATTGGATTCTGGTGCGCGTAAAATAGAATTTTTAACGGTCGTTGTCGTACTTGCTGTTGTTAACGTAGTAGGTGAATCGAGGATTATCGGAGTTTGAGCAGTTGTATTTACTAATACAACTGGGGTTAAACTATCAATGGTTGTCACAGTACTTATAGTATCAGTTAACGTCGTTATCTGTTCAATATCTTTCATAGGAGATGTAACAACTGTTTGTGATTCTATTGGAGGTGGAACAAATTGGGGTGGTTCTAAAAAAGAAGTCATATAATTACTTAAGATAGTATCGAAAGATTTTATCAAAGTGAACGGAGATATCGTTTAATGTGGTTGAGAAAGACCGAAAATATTGACAAATGTTAATGTGTCCTACCAAGCCTATTTCAATACTCTTGTTGATAGCTACTTAGAGTATGCTCGTTTTTTTCTTAAAATCTACTTATTTATAGATTATTTTTGATGTTGATCACGAATATGCAGCCAAAATGGCTATTCTTAGTGCATCCTTGAAAAACTGGTCTCTAGAGATTCATTCTAAATTCCATAATGAAGAAGTTCTGATCTTTCCATTTTGTCAGGTTACCAGTGGGAAAATAGTCCGAGAACTGCTAAACAAGTTTTCGGTGAATCATCAAAATTTGTTCAATTTGGAATTTTGATGGATCTCTAGAGACCAGTTTTTCAGAGATATGTTTAAAAAAACTGTGTCGGCTGGAATTGATCACATATTCGCGATAAGTATAAAAAAAATAACCTGTGATAAAGTAAGTTTCAAGGAAAAAGCAAATTTTCGTATGTTACCTCCTTAGATGTATGAAAAAGTGAGGATGAGAAAAACAGAGTTTGAAAAGCAATATATAGATTTTATATAAATTTAACAGTAAATTGTTTACCTCCATATAATGTTCTTATTCCAGCTATGTCATCTGAATGTAATTTGATATCGGGTGAATATCCACGATAATATGGAAACATAATTGCGTCAGGAATGTTGGAATGCATCAATCCCAAACTGTGACCTAATTCATGTACGGTCACAGAAAATAAATCCACTAAAATTAAATGTGATAAATGTCTTTTTATAAATATCTAGATTTGAAAGTGTATCATACTTAGTCCATATTCATTTTCACGATAAGCAGTCCAATCTTCATCTTCATCGTAATGAACATCGCCACCTAAATATTCATCAGGATAAAATGCGTGTGCAAGAACAGCACCTAAAACAGAATGAAAATTATTCTTCGTTCTCAAGTTCACTGTAACTATACCTTTTCCATCAAATCGATAACCATCTTCATGATAACCTTGTGCAAATAAAAATTCAATATCAGGTTCTTCATGTTCGGTTGCTGCACGAAATCTTAGCATACTGGGATAACTCCAGATTAATAATGCATGATAAATGGCTCGATCGACAGATTCACGCGACATATCCGGAGTATAATTGGTTATTCTAAAAGAAAAAACAATGTTTATTCACTACTATAATTATCCATCAGTCATTTGTCTTTATTATGTTGAAATTCTAATAGATCATGATAAAGTGAATCATCGAAGAAGAAAAAAAGAACTCTGATTTTTGTGTCAATTTTTGGATAACAATCTGTGGAATAATTAATGACACTTAAAAAGGTTAACGGTTGTTAGGATATGATTTCGAGATAGGATAGCATACATTCTTTTGTGAAACCATTCAAATAAAAATATTTATTTATTTCGTTCTTTGTTCGAATATCATTTTTTGACTTAACACGTTATTATTTTTATTACAGTAAAGTGTTGATTTAGTAGACTAGGCACTATGATGTATCATAATGATAGCAATGTTGAGTGTTTTTCTTCTATCTGTAATAATCGTTTACATTATTTAGCAAGTAAATTAGAAGTTAATGAAGCATATATCATATATGTGCTGGTAGTGGTAATGACGATGATGAAAATAGCTATTCGAGCGAAATCGATTAACGTCGATAAACACAGTCATACTCATGAAGATAAAAATGAAAAGAAGATCAATCATAAACAACTAGCACACCATGATCTGATCACTGATTATGGTAAAAATTCACATGGAGACGAATGTATGGATGGTACAACTTTATTATATAATGTAACTATTAGCTGCTTAAATTAGCTAATATAAAACACAAATGGGTAAAAGTAATTTCGGAATTTTTATGAAAGTTTGATTGAATTGATAACAGTTTAAGAAAATCACAGCTTGATATGTCAAATGTAAACAAGTGATGAAATTTCAACAATAAAGTCAAATTTCTTTTTATCTATTACATACCATACCTTCGGCATGGATATTCATTATTTTTGTCTAAAACACTTTCGTTTACTTTATTAAACAAACAATCATCACATTCCAGAATTCATTTGTTATTATGAATGAATAACCATGGTTATTCATTTTCTCTCACTATGCATATCAATTGCAATTGAATTTATGACGAAATAGCACAAACAAGCTTAGATTCGTAAATGCAAAAAATCTCTCGTTCCTTATTCTATGTACCGTCTGATGCTTGTCTCTCTTGAACATATCAATAGACTATTTCCTCTGTATATAAGTCAAGAGAGATTAAATTTAGAGTACGTTAATATGATTTTGTCCCCACTAACATCATCACAATGAGTATGGATGAATCGATGCCATCAACGACAAATATGGTTTAAGTCGACAAAAACGTTTGGATTTTTTGAAAAATTTAGAGATGATTTGCCAACAATAAATAAAGATAGTTCGATGTAACAATATCTCATGACATATTCTCTATTACGTACAAATCTGTGTGAATGTGTCTTATTTAAAAATTTAATTTTCGCGGAACCCAGAATATATGTGTTTTATCATTGTTAAAAACCGAGATTTTACTAAAAAGCGAAATCTATCCAAAAATTCCCAGATAGATCTCACTCAACTTAGTTTTTTATGTTGATTCTGAATATCAAATTGGTTTTGCAAAAAAATTAAAATTTTATGATGAAAATCTCAAAATACAGGTGTATTTCCGTATTTTTCGTCATCGATTTGGAAAATGCCGACTATATTTGCATATCAAACTATTCAGTTTAAAAGCCTTACAATATATATTTGAATTCTTTACTCCGTTATAACAACAAGAATAACACTATGAATGTAGAAAGAACTATAATGACGAAGATATGCAATCCTATTCAACAATATTCTGAAATCATTGACAATTACTGACTGCAAAGGATTTAGAACAAACAATTTCATTTGACTTTTCCATAATAACCAGCACCGATAGGAAAAAACGCAGTTTTTGGCCCAAACCAAATGCACTTCGTGTAAAATATTAACCAGTAACCTCTATCGTCAATATCAATACTGCGAAAGATAATACTAGTGATTGTCTTACGTAACAACATTAGCAATGTCTTATCAATTATACACTTATTAAAAAAGACAACACGTTTTGTTCAATTAAGTACCACATAGGACTCTGGATCGAAAAATAATCTTCCTAGTTCTGAAGATGAGACAAACACTTTAAAAACAAACTATCAGAATGTACAATTGCTCAGCATGATTGAGTGGACGCTTGTGCAAGTAGTTTTCAACAGAGAAACAGTTTTACTAAAACAACATGAAAAACATGGGAGATCTGAACTCTGACTCACCAACATCCTATACCGGTAACAAGTCGCAAGACACGCGAGACTCCGCATTGTTGCGAAATTCAACACGATATCTTGAAGAAGACTTTTCATTCTCTAATATCAGTAAAGTTAGGTTCGTTCAGAAAATCGTCTTTTCATCTTTCAGTGAGGTGAAATATGTGAACATTTTTTTCATAAATTTAAACATTTTATTGTCAAATTCTTTTGACTTTTGAGAATGATTAAATAGAAGATTAAATAATATAGTTTTACAGTTATTTTTTTATTTATATCATGAAGTATCATGTTATAGAGAAACTGATAACGTCTTGTATTAATACTAACATTAGATCATAATAGAATTTAAAATGTAGCTCAAAATTCAAACGCTTATCTCAGAGCTCTAATTTTTTTTATATAATCTTGATTATTTTGAATCTCCCTTAGCTAAATAATGTTGTTTACTTACTTGTACGTCAGATATGTTTTGGCCCATTTTTGACCTTGTAAAACATAACGTTTTTTTCGATTACCAAACGACTGAGGCCGTTGTATATGACGATTATCAAAATCTGGTAAACCACATCTTGGTCGACGTATTAATTTAACCGTTGTTTCATCTAATTTTCCCTATAAAAATTAAAATATTTACATAAGAAGATAAAAATATGTTTACATTTAGCGAGCGTACCGTCACAGGTACACCAGCATAGTGTTGTAATCTCCTAATAGCTGAATATATTTCATGATCAGTACGTAATGCACGAGTTTCTAAATCGGAACGTGGAAGATATCCATATTTGCTCAAATAGATGTGCTTTAACAAATACAAAAAAAAAAATGACGTTATGATAAAAATAATGAAAAAAAAAAAAAATAAACAATAATAATTGTTTTATCTTTACTTTTAAAATGTAAAATGACTTACTAATTCTCCTAAATTTTCTTTATTATGATCGAATATTGAATATCTTTCACGTTTATCTCGAATTGGCATTGATAAATTTATTTTTGTAATATAGATTAAAAATATGAATGTTTGCAATAATAATTGAAGACTAAGTACATTGAAGAAGCCAATTATCATAGTAAGTGATCATAATATTTTACTTGTAATATTTTTAAATTAATTAAATAAAATCATGTAGTATTTAGTAATTTTTCATTATTAACATAATAGAATAATAATAGGAAAATATTTCTAATACATAACATTGTTATTTGTTGTTAACGTTTACTATGACCAACGTTCACAAAAATATCATATTGCACACACACACACACACACACTCAACAGGCACACTGAAATACAAAATATATTATTATTACAATATATTAGAAGAAGAAGAAGAAGAAGAAAAAAATATATATATAAATATTTTTCTCGTTTTTTTCTCTTCTTATGCTATTTTGATCTATATTCATGGCATATGAGAAGAGAAGAGAAGAGAAGAGAAAAAAAAGAGGAGAGAATATTGCGGTCAGTCTAAATAATCATATGGCAATACTCTATTTATTTCTGTTTTTTTTTTTATTATCGATAAATCTATGTATCTATTAAAAAGGGAGAAAAATAGATATTTTACTTGTATATGAACATATAGTTAACGAACAAATTTCTTCTCTCTATATATATATTTTTCATGAACACCTTGTTATACTATATTTCTTCTCTAATTTTCTGTCACTAACTTGTCATTATTGTTCATAATGCATAATGTATCGTCATGTTATTATGATCAAATTATTTATTTTCTAGTAGTATAGAAAATACAAGAGAGAAAAGAAAAAAAACAAAACAAAAATAGTATATTATATAACTAAATCGAGAATATCTAGTTTGAATATTGTACATGTTTATTTCTTAATTTAAGATTTTTCGTTTTTATTTCTATTGTGAATAATAAATAGACCCGATATTTTAAAATAAATCTGAATTTGAATAAAAACAAGAGAAGAAAAACAAAAATTATTCTTAATGTTCTATATTAAGTTCAATACTCTATTAGATAATATATTCCAATATGAGACCTTGTTATTCGGTTATGTAGTCTATTTGAGTGACACAATCATATTGACGTCAACAAATATCCGAAAGTTAATCTTTAAAGTTAAAATTTTCTCTTTCTCATTCAACATGACAAATATTCATTATCAATTGACAGTATTACAAAATGATATAAGCAACTGTAGATAGATCCTTCATACTGAATGGAAAACATAAATTTTTTTTCTTAATTCTATATAAAATAGATATGAACTCGAATCAAACATATAATAACTGTGTTATCATTGAAAAAGAACAATTTATTATAATTTATTGTAAAGAAAATTGTAAAAAAGATTTGTATGAAGACAAGTTTAATTTTAATCTATATATTCTAGATAAAAAAAAAAAATACGATTTAGGATCAAGTTTAGTGTGTCTTCTTTCAGGAAGAAGAAAGATTAAACTTGATCTTAGAGTGTACAAAGCATCATCTTCTTTTAGCAACAACTTTATATAGTTTTTTTTTATTTCAGAGCATGAGCTTAGGATACATCATCTGGTAAAATATGTCCTATCTGACTGTACACACATTTCCAATAGCTATTGAAAAACCATCTGTTGTCTGCATGACAAACGATGTTTAACTCCGAGTATACTATTTATGTGTACAAACATTTAATGAAGGTGTTTCTATCATATGAGACCTTCAGAGGTCATGTTCCTACTGTATAATTAATTACTCTAAACATACCCGCGCGCACTTTAACAAGTTATCAGTGCCTGACATTTTTTTGGCTTCAAAATAAAAAAAAAAAAAAAAAAGTAGCAGAAGAAGAAGAAAGGATTATAATAGAAAAACTTCATTCATTTTTTTTTTTTTTTTTATGCTATAAATAGAATGAGAAAGAAATCAATGTATGTGATGGAGAAAGATCAATCAATCAATCATATTTTATAGCTTTTTTATGAGACAACTAAATAATCGACTATTAGAAGGAAAAACGTACATGAATTATGTAAATAATAAAAGGAAAATTAATGACCAAAACCGATTTTGTCTTCCTCCTTCTTTTGTCTATTGGCGTTAAAAATAAAAATAAAAAAATCAGATAATTTGGAGAATGAGTATATAAATGTGTACGTGGGGAGGGACAATGTAGTCTTGTTTGTACACTATGATTGCATGTATTTATAAAAATTAGATTACAATTTAGAAGATTGTGTAAAATACCTTGAACTCAAATTGTCCAATAAATGACCCGAATAAAATAGCAAAGATAAAACAAAGAGATCTTTTGACATTGAAAAAAAACAAAAAATCTCAAGAGGAAAATGCTTTTTGTTCTTTTTTTTCATGATAACTTCTTTTCTTTTTTTTTTTTTTCTTTTTCACTTTTTAAAACGTTTTTTTTTTTTTTCTATTTTTCTTTCTAATACCATTGGTATACATATATGTTCACTTCATAAACACTGTGTGTAAAATGAACAGAGTAACATTTTCCTTTTTAAAATGTTTTCATTTTGATTTGGAAAAATGGCAAGCATAAGAAGGAAATTTGTGTTGTGTTGCAAATTTCAAAGAACTTGTAGAATTGAACTAACTAAACTATCAATATCTAATAGACAACTATGGAAAAAAATATATATATTTTACTTTAATACATCTTCTATTTATAGAATTTTGAATAAAATAGAAATACGGACGATTTTCTTCTTCCATTATAATTTTTCATCTTAGTCGACTATTGATTTTTAACGTCTAAACCCTCGAGAATCATCTTGTTTTTACAAAAAACAGACTTATATTGATCATTTTTTCAATATTTTCTACTAATGATATATGATTTTTATGGTTAACTATTACCTTGAATTTATTTTCTATTGAATTGTTGGATTTAGAAAAGAATTCTGTCTTTTCATCGAAGAAAAATGAGAGAAAATCATATTATTATTATTATTATTATTATTAATAAAAATTTCACTATTTCATTTCAGATATAGTCTCTATGTGATTTCATTTTGATATAACGAAGGATTAAAAAAAACAAAAAAAAACAGAAAAGAAATGAAAAAAGTTTTTCGGAGAATAGACTGTCTGATAGAAAACGGAAGAAGAAAAAATAGGGAAAAGAAAAGATTCTTATGTCCTTAAGCTATATTACAGTCATTTACACTTAAACGATAAAAAAAAAATTTTTTATGTAAAATAAAAAAACAAAAACGAATTTCTGATAAAAACCACTATTAGCTCTTGATCAAGGATAATAACGTACTATAAACTCTCAAAAGATGTGTAGATATTGTATATTTGACTATTGAATTGATTGTGCACTTTAAAAAAAAAAGAACGACAAATGTGATTTCCCATACGGGCTAATATAAAAGGAAAATCGTTTACATACAAAATTTTCTTTCTATATTTTTGATTTATTGTTCATACAAAGTAAATATCAGAGATAGTTAAATATAATAAACTATAATCGAAACATATTCTTTTGAACACAAAATACAGTGAGTAAAATTCATTCAAAGAGGAAAAATGCTTTTTTTTTTTTTTTGTTGCCTCCTCATTTCTAATATCAAGATTAAAAACATTCGTTTTTCAAATGAATAATTTGTGTTTCCAGAAGCCCATTTATTTAGATATATATATATATATATCTAGACCAACAAAAAGAAATACAAATAGAAAAGCAATTTTTTGTCTCATTATAACCTAAATGTTGTACAAGAGGTATAGTACGTTCTTATAGTAGAAAGAAAAGGATATGTGTAAAATGTGTGAAATGTCTGTAGATTATATAAACGAGAAATGATTATGATCAGTGTTTATTTTGTCATATAAAAAAAACACACAGAAAATTTTTGTATATTTTTTTTTCTTCGATGAATGATTATTAGTTTTGACATTTTATTTTTCTGACTTTAGATCGTTAAAAATGATACAAAAAAAATATTTTTCATTAATCTTATAAATTTTACCTTCATGAAATTGTCTACAGTATGAGATGATAGTAAAAAAAATCTAGAAATTTCTAATTTTTTTTTTTGTTTTTTTGAATATATGAAAAAAATATTTTTCAAATAATAAAAAATTTTTATTCTCAATTCTCGAATGACTTAGGCTAATCATTTTTTTGCATGCATAGAAGGATTAAATCAATTTTTTCTACTCTATATAGTAAAATTGTATCCTTTTTCAAATATAATATATTTCAATTTTTAAATAATGCAGCTGTCATTAAGAACATGTATTGATATACTTGATTGAAATAGATGACAACTAAAGAAAATATCATGAAAAATTTATATTGGAAGATAAAAAAAAACTAGACCATTTTCACATTCTACTGATAAGACGACCATTAATTATTATTACATAGTATATATATGATGTCAACATATGTTAGCCCCAAAACACCGATCTTATGGCAAATTAATAGTTGAAATAATCACGTATAATTGTGTGTTTTATGCGTATGAAGGTAAGAAAATAAAAAACAATAGTATGGATAGTCAATTTTTTTAAATTATATTTATAATTTTAGTATTTAAAAACATATTACAACTATTCATTTCATAAATAAAAAATCAATTTGTCTATGATTATCATCTTTTGTAAAAAGTAATAAATACAAAAATTTATACTTACATATATCTGATTTATTATTATACTTAAATTTGTGATCCATGATCAAAGATTATTGAAATAAAATATACACATTTTTTTTTATTTTCACTTCATATATTTAACTTCTGCTCAACGACAAATCAAAAAAATATATAATGTCTATTTGAACTCTTACTATTACATAAATGCAACCTTTACTATTTATAGGATATGTTGTCTATAAAAATTTAAAGTTACATTTACCTTCTCGTTTGTTTGAATATTAAACATGAGAGCATACAAATATATACATACACACACACGACTAATTTTAAAAACAATTGTATATTGATGAAGAACTTTTGCCTATATAAAAATGATTCCAGGTGATTATTAAATATAATGGTGAAAACGTGCATACGATCAAAAAACATCAAAACACTTTCACAACTGTCTCAACAGTCATTCTCAAGGTTTAAAAAGAAACTAACAGATACTCATAATTTTCGTATCATGTATAAGTGTTTATTTATATGAGCAGTAAATCCAGTAAACATTCATGATTTCTTTTTATAGTAATTGTAGTAGTATGTCATCTATTGATAGATATTTTTGAAGGTTTTAAATTAAAAAGAAAACACTAAAAAACAATCTATTCTTGTAGTTTGAATTTTTCGACCTTTTTTTTTTTTTTGTCTAAATCAATAAGTTAACTTTCATATTATGTTAATCATATAGATGAACAAAAAAAACATCCTCATGAAATTAAATAGTATTTTATCAAGGTTATAGAGTAATTCATCGAAAAAAAAAAAAAAAAAATTTCTTTCTCCCTATATATTATCTATTACTGTTAGTTTACGTACGTGTTGATTCCCAATAGAAAATAATTTCTTTTTTCTTTTATAAATAAATAACTGGCAGATGAAATAAAAATTTTTAGCTAGAAGTTATAAGTGTGCATGATATTATTCTTTTATATATAAACCGACCGTATGTTTAAATTTAGTCACACATATTTTATATCCATTAATAATTATTATACTCTTTTTTCTTTTTTTTTTTCTCGTCATATTTAAATCAATCAAAAACAACTAAGATCCATTACAAAGTGTTCGGTTTTTTCTTATTGATAGTTTGAGCTGCCTCCTATAAGCAAGAATGGAAGAAGAAATAAATATATTGTGTGTATATGTGTCTAATGTCGATGATTTGCATCAAAGAGAGAAACAAAAAAAAGGAAGAGCAAACTGTATGAAAAAGTAGCAGCACTATTCGACCTTGAATGTAAATTATTTTTAGCCCACATAATATCAATCATGGAATTAGAGATAATAAAAACATCACACTATTAAAAACAACATTTTGAACGTGACACACAACATATTTTTATATCAAGAGAAATTAAAATAAAAATATTTCAACAATTTTTTGACGATGTGATCGTTTTTAATAAGTACTTAATCAAGAATATCCATATATCTAGAAATTGACTACTGTGAGAATATATGAATAAAAAGTAATCATTATAAATTTATTTTACTCTTAGATGAATAGTATTTTCAATCTTTTTTAAAACTATTATATATCTTATGAGATAATTATTTTCTCAGACATAAAAATTTATTTTATAAATTGTTAGTAAAGAACATCATTTCTAGATACATTTTATCTAAATATAATGATTTTCTAAGTTAAAAATCGTTACTAAAAGTTTAAAACTGAGATTTAATGAATTGAATTAGTAATACAGAATCAGTTACTAAGAATCACGGCCACACTAACCGTCATATAATGTTGAAAAAAAAAGTCAACAATTGACGTACACTTGATTCATACTTTTTTTCTTTTTTCTATATTTTAAAAATTTAATTGAGTAGTAAAACAAAACAGTCTTCCTTTTTTTTTTTTTTTTTACTTCTCAAACTAACACACAAAAGAACACTATATAAATATATATATAGTAAATGATTTCTTATGTCTGTATGTCAAGCGTATTAAAAAGATTTTCTGATTATTTTTCTTTTCTGCAATAGTATCAGAAAAAAAAATAATATATATTAGTCAGCAAATCTACTTTAGTGAGTATATTTTATATCAAAAAAATTAGATAAAATGCATATAACTCGAAGATATATAGATATATACAAATCAACAAATTAAAATGGACAGTTCAA